TTAATAAAAGCTTATTTCCATACATAATAAAATCAACTAAAAGATTATAAAAATTCCTTCTTTATTTTAAGAAAACTCTTTACTTTTAAATTCTTTTAGTTATATATTTCAGATACTGTTTTTACAATTTTCCAATATTTTAATTATTCCATAAAATATATTAGAATAAATTATTAGATTTTAAATTTTATAAACGAGAAAACCATTCTTAATATTAAAAATATTATCTTCATTTAAATTATTATTTTATAAACATAATTTTTTTATATATACTACATTATCTTCTAAATAACATATTATTATTTTGATGATGTTTTATTCTTTTTTTTAATTTTTTTATAATAAATGAATTAATAATAAAAAAAAGAACATAATATATTTTAATTACATTTTTATTATAAATAAATGTTATTTAATATAAAAAAAAATCAAAATATGAAAGAGTATTATTTAATAAAGATTCAAGATCTGTAAAATTGAAAATAATTATTTATTTTATTCATTATTATAAAAAATAATAGACATAATTTTCATATCTTTTTTAAAAATTAAATTCTAAAATAATATTTTATTCATTTATAAATTTGATAATTTAGCACTATGAAAAAAAGAATTGAATATTAAAGATTTAATAACTATAAAAGTATATAAATATATGTATTATAAGAATTTTAAATATATAAAATATATATATTTTATATATATATATATATAAATATATTATATATTTTATTTTAATTTATTATTATTTTAAGTTTTTTTCTATTTATAATTTTATATTTATTTTTATTTTTTTATTAATTATAAAAATCAATCATTTTTGTTTATAATTTTTAAAAACATTTATACTTATATATACATATTAACAATCCTCATTAATATGATTTTTTTATTTTATAAAAATATATTAATATTTTTTTATATATAAAAAAAAATATATTTATTGATATTTAATATAATAATATTTTTATTTATAATGAAATCTTATTATTATAATTTTTAATTATAATTTTTATTTTGAATAAATAAATTTTATATTAATAATTTTTAATTATTTAATATTTCAATAATATTATATTTATAGTTCTTTTTTGCCATAAATATTAAATAATTTTAATCTTAATTTTAACATTTAAGATTATAGATATTCTTTTAAACATATAATATCATATTATATTATATTATATTATATTATATATAATATTTTAATTATTTGTTATCTTAAATCTTTTCAAATAGAATTTCTATTATTTTTTATATTTATATTAATGTATTGTTTACAATTAATATATTCTGTATATAAAAAAAAATATTAAAAGATATTTAGATTTTATTGCAATAATTTAATGTTTAAAAATTATTTAAAACTTGCAAATACTTTTTTTATTCAAATAGTTTAGATATATTTTATGAAATTCTCAAATAAATAATAATTATTTATATTTAAATAATAACATTATTTTAAGTAATACATAATAAAATTACAGTATATAACTTTTAAAAATTCACTTTTTTATATTATATTAAATAAAAGAAATTATTGTAATTTTCTTATACAATTAAAAAAAATTTATATAAATTTTATAATATATAAAAAATAAAAAATATTATTATTAATTTCATATATATATTAGTTATAATATAAATTATATTTAATTTTTTTTTTATAAATTGAAAATAAATATAAATAAAAAATATATCTAAAAATAAATAAATAAGCTATTATGATTTTAAATATAAAATTATTAAACTTTATTTAAATAAATTTCTTATTTAATAAAAATAGATTAGTAATACATAATTATAAATATAATAAATAAATAAATTTCTTAAAATACTTTTTATTAAAAAATATATTTATAAAAGAATTAATATATAAAATTAATAATATTCAATAATATTCAATATATAATAAAATAAAATTTGTAGATACTTAATTTATTTAATTAAAAATTATTATAATATTTATGGTATTAAATTAAATAAAAAAATTATTTAAATATATTTTAAAAGTAAATTTTTAAATATATATTTAAATATATGTTGTTTAAATAAAAAAATTATAATTAAAATATAAAATGATAGGAAAATTAATTTTCTATAAATAAAATGTAGAAATAATATAAATAATTATATATTATTATATAATAAAATATTCAAAATATTTTATATATAAATTTTTTATCATTAGAATAAATAATGTTTTTTTTTATATATGTATATTTTTTTTTTATCTATTTTGTTTATTTATTTTTATATTTCAATTGCTATTGTATTTTGTCTTTAAATTATTCTATTTTATTTATGTTATATTTTATATGTTTATAAATATTAAAATATTTATAAAAAAATAAAAAAAAAAATGAATTTAGTATAATCAATCTCAATATTAGAAAAGTAATCTTATCAATTTATTATTTATTAAACATATTATATAAATATTATAAAAACATATTTAAAAAGTTAAATTTTAATATTTAATTTTTAATATTTAATATTATTTTCTTATCTTATTTTTCTTATTTTTTTTATTTTTTTTTGAAATTTTTTATTTTACTTATTATTTATTTTATATAGTCATACATAATTATAAATTTTGAATAATAAATAAAAATCAGATAATTACTTGAAAAATTTCGGATAAGATTATGAATATAACAACGTTTTATTTAATTCTAAAAATAAGAAAATATCATCACCCTTAATAAACAGAAAAATAACTTCAAACAGATTAGATACTTAATTAAAAAATAATAAAATTTCTACGAGCAAATATACATTTATTAATTTTTTACCTAAAAATCTTATTGAATAATTTAGCAAATTGCACAATATATATTTTTTAGTCCAAAAAAAAAAAAATACCTAAAATAAATTTATTTTTTTATTTATATATTTTTAGATAGCTGGCCTTTTTTAAATGATTCCAGAAATTACAGTATCAAATGGTATACCGAATTCATTTTATCCTTTTTCTCTCATTTTAACTATAACTGCAATCAGAGATTTTTACGAAGATTATTATAGACATAAATCGGACAATGAAGAAAACCAAGTATTTTATACTTATATAAAATAATATATTTACTCTTTAAAAATTATTGTTTTTTTTTTATATATATGAAAAACATTGCAATTTTTTAAACTAAAATTAATTTCAAAAATTACATAAAATATAATATTTTATATATTAAATATATTTTCTAATTTATTCATTTAAATTATTATTTTTTATTTTTTATAATAGAGATTATGTCTTGTATACGATACCAAAAAAGAAAAGTTTATTTAAAAGGAACAATAATATTTATAAGTCGGATAGATTGTTAAAGTATTTAAAAAAAAGTATTCTTTTTAAATTATAAAAAAAAAAGATTTTAGACAAGCAGTATTTTCCTGCAGATTTATTAATATTAAGTTCTTCAGAAAAAAAGGGACTATGTTATATAGAAACTTAATCATTAGACGGGGAAACTAATTTAAAACAAAGAATTGCATAAAAGAATATATATTAATATTTTGGATCAGAAATAGATGTAAAATAATTTCTAAAATAATTTTTTTTTTTATTTAATAAAAAAAAAAGGAAAAAATTTGTTAAATAAACCAATAATATTATAATATGAATTTCCAAACGCGATTTTACATAAATTTTAAGGCACATGTTAATTACAAAATCAAACATAAATATCGATTGATATGAATAATTTTCTATTAAGAGGTTGTAAACTAAAAAATACAAAATGGGTTTATGGTTTAGTCACTTAT